TATGTAAAGCTTATCTGAAGCCCTTTGTTTCTTGGGTGATGAGAATATTAAAGGCAGAAGAATGGTCACTTTTATGACTGTACAGCATGTTGATAATTCATCTTCTTAACGCAGACTACGTGATTCACTCCCATCCTCAGACCTACTGCTCTTGGTCTTCATTCTTTGTTTTTATTAGATTAGTGACCTGCTGTATTTTTAGTCATGTTATATACTTATTGAGGAGAAACTGTCAGTATCTAACTCCTGATTTCATTGCTGTAATATATGCTCATGATACTTTTATTACAGAAACTGTATCACTCTTTGATATGTATGTCCTTCATCTGTCCAAGATGAAGTATAACTACTGCAACTTTATACAGATTGTCTTTTCTTTGTTTTCTGAAGGATTTGATTTTCTTAGACCACATCATGTGAAGGTTATGTTTGGGATCTGTTTTCAAACAAAATTTACCTGAGCTTTTATCCTCATGTTTTTTCTGAAGTTAGCTACTTGCCTACTGTCTTCCAGGTACTTAGGGCTTTTTAGGCAGGTTTTTACTCCCAGTTTGCAAAGAAAGCTTGAACAACTTTAGAGCAGAAGATCGACTTGTTACTTACTTTATAATTTTCTTAACTTTCTAAAACCATTCATTCATAGACTTTTAAAGTAATAGCTTTATTGAGGCATAATTCACATACCGTGTAATTCACCCAATTAAAGTACAAAGTTCTATGGTTTTTAGCATGTTTACAAAGCTCTGCAGCCATTACCACAGTCAATCTGAAATTCTTCATCACCTCTAAAAGAAACTCCGTGTCTTTTGGCAGTCACTGCCCATTTCCTTCAACTCATCCAGCTGAGGCAAACACTAATATCATTTCTGTCTCTATATATTTGTCCTGGACATTTCATATAAATGGAAACATATAATAGGCGGGCTTTTAGTGACTGACTTCTTTCACGTTGCAAGAAGTTGTAGCATTTATTGGTACTTCATTTTATTACTGAATAATATTCCATTGTATACCTATACATTTTATATCATCAGTTGATGGATATTTGGGTTGTTGCCATTTTTTGGCTGTTATGAATAATGCTGCTGTGAATCTATACGTACAAATTTTTGTGGCCATATGTTTTCCTTTCATTTGGGAGATTCTTTTTTTCAGTAAACTAAGATTAATCAAGTTCTAAAGGAAAAGAAGTTGGGTGCTACTTTTGGAAAAAATCTTCTGTGAATAATGTAACATTTCTCTCATTCCATTTTTATCCTTAGGTATTTTTGCCAGGTTGTGCTGCACTAACATGTTCAGATAACATGTGCAATAACAAAGTTTTGTTTCTTTCATATGTTACATGTTATAATTCGCTGGGGCTCTGCCTTACCTCTATTTTCATTCCAGTATTCAGACTAAAGAAACAACCCTTATTTGGGACATGTTGTTTTTATTATAACCAAAGGAAAAAGCAACAGAACTAGTGGAAACATGCATTTAAAGCCTCTGCTCAGAACTGGCATGTCACTTTTCTGGTCACATTTCACTGTTCTAGGCAAGTCATATGGCCAAACCTAAGAATTGAGCAGGAAAATATAAACTGACTATAGGTAGGTACTGAAAATCACATGGTATTAGCTGAGGTCATACAGTCTTCATTTGTAGAAGGAGTTACAAATGATTTGGGACAGAAATTGAGGCTATCACGGCTCAGAAGAAATAATGAAACTTACGGAGGAAAGTTGAAGAAGACTCAAGTGGCATGGAGTGAGATTAGTGGAGTTCCATGTCTTTGAATTCAAGGGACTGTCCCACAGCATGCAAGTATTTAGAAGTTAGCCAGAGACCTTTGGAAGAAGAGAGTAGGGAAAAGGCAGAGATCATATTATGTGTGTTATTGCAGGAGATGACTTGGAAGAGGAGAGCTACCCCTAGGTCGTTTTTATATTTCCCAAATTATTTTATTTTATTTTTCTCTTTTTAAAAATAGTTTGCTTGAGTTGAGATCGAAGTATGCTGGTCTCAAATTTTTTAAATTTCTTTTTTTTTTTCCCATTTATTTTATTGCATTTTAGGTTTTGGGGTACATGTGAAGAACATGCAAGATTGTTGCATAGGTACACACGTGGCAGTGTGATTTGCTGCCTTCCTCCCCAACACCTACATCTGGCATCTCTCCCATTGCTATCTCTCCCCAACTCCCCACCCCCCACCGTCCCTCCCCTATTTCCCCCCAGCTGACCCCTGTGTGTAGTGCTCCCCTCCCTGTGTCCATGTGTTCTCATTGTTTAACACCCGCCTATGAGTGAGAACATGTGGTGTTTGATCTTCTGCTCTTGTGTCAGTTTGCTGAGAATGATGGTTTCCAGGTTCATCCATGTCCCTACAAAGGACCCAAACTCATCGTTTTTGATGGCTGCATAGTATTCCATGGTGTATATGTGCCACATTTTCCCTGTCCAGTCTACCATCGATGGGCATTTGGGTTGGTTCCAGGTCTTTGCTATTGTAAACAGTGCTGCAATGAACATTCGTGTTCACTTGTCCTTATAGTAGAACAATTTATAATCCTTTGGATATATACCCAGTAATGGGATTGCTGGGTCAAATGGAATTTCTGTTTCTAGGTCCTTGAGGAATCGCCACACTGTCTTCCACAATGGTTGAACTAATTTACACTCCCACCAACAGTGCAAAAGTGTTCCTATTTCTCCACATCCTCTCCAGCATCTGTTGTCTCCAGATTTTTTAATGATCTCCATTCTAACTGGCGTGAGATGGTATCTCAATGTTGTTTTGATTTGCATTTCAACAATGGGGAAAGGATTCCCTGTTTAATAAATGGTGTTGGGAAAACTGACTACCCATGTGCACAAAGCAGAAACTGGACCCCTTCCTGACACCTTACACTAAAATTAACTCCAGATGGATTAAAGACTTAAACACAAGACCTAACACCATAAAAACCCTAGAAGAAAATCTAGGCAAAACCTAGAAAATCTAGGACATAGGTGTAGGCAAGGACTTCATGACCAAAACACCAAAAGCATTGACAACAAAAGCCAAAATAGACAAATGGGACCTAATCAAACTCCACAGCTTCTGCCCAGCAAAAGAAACAGTCATTAGAGTGAATCAGCAACCAATAGAATGGGAAAAAATTTCTGCAGTTTACCCATCTGACAAAGGGCTGATATCCAGAATTTACAAAGAACTAAAACAGATTTACAAGAAAAAAACAAACAAGCCCATTCAAAAGTGGGCAAAGGATATGAACAGATACTTTACAAAAGAAGACATACATGAGGCCAACAAACATATGAAAAAATGCTCATTATCACTGGTTATCAGAGAAATTTTTTAAATTTCTAAAGTTTCTTCTCTCTTCTCCCCATTCTCTGTCCTCTCTTCTCTTTCTCTTATTTTCTTGTATTTTTTTTGGTTGAAAAAAATAAGTTATTTATCTTGCAGTTTTCCTCAGTCTTGATTTTGCTGATTACATACCTGTGGTGTCATTTACCATGTTCCTCTTCTCCTATGTTTCTTACAAATCAGTAATTGGTTTTAGAGGCTTGATCAGATTCAGGTTTGAGTTATTTTTTTTTTTAGCACAATTGCCTCATAAGTGATACTGTGTATATCCATCAGAGGGACATATGTCTGTTAGTAGCAACTGATGATCATTGCTTAGATCCATGGGTTGAAAAATGTTGATGTCCTTTTTAAATATAATTTATTCTTTGTTTAATTGCTAAAATTTTTGTTTTTTGAGACGGAGTTTCGCTCTTGTTACCCAGGCTGGAGTGCAATGGTGCGATCTCGGCTCACCGCAACCTCCACCTCCTGGGTTCAGGCAATTCCCCTGCCTCAGCCTCCTGAGTAGCTGGGATTACAGGCACGCGCCACCATGCCCAGCTAATTTTTTATAGTTTTAGTAGAGACGGGGTTTCACCGTGTTAACCAGGATGGTCTCGATCTCTTGGCCTCGTGATCCACCCGCCTCGGCCTCCCAAAGTGCTGGGATTATAGGCGTGAGCCACCGCGCCCGGCCTAAAATATTTTAAAATAGAGAACTTTTCCTCTGTTCACTCTTTGTTATACCCTGAGGTATGCTTTAAATAGTAAAGGAAGGATACATGCTTCATTCTTTCCCTTTATCAATTAAAAAATTTTTTTTGTTTTGAGATAAGAGTTTCTCTGGTTGCCCTGGCTAGAGTGCAGTGGCGCAGTCCCGGCTCACTGCAACCTCCACCTCCTTGGTTCAAGTGATGGCACTGCCCCACTCTCTCAAGTAGCTGGAATTACAGGCGCCTGCCACCATGCCCTGCTAATTTTTCTATTTTTAGTAGAGACGGGGTTTCACCATGTTGGCCAGGCTGGTCTCAAACTCCTGACCTCAGGTGATCTGCCCACCTCGGTCTCCCAAAGTGCTGTGATTACAGGCGTGAGCCATTGTGCATGGCCTATCAATTTTCAGACTAATGAACTGTTTCCTTAGAGTCCTCCAAAGGTGATCGATGAATTATATTTAGTTTTTTTTTTATGAATTCATGGGTACAAAATATTTGACATTTCAGTTCATTAGTCTCCTTGTTGATACTCACACTGGCCAGTGAAAGACTCCAGGTTGGCTCCTGTGTCCTCTTGGCATTACTTTAGTACTCTTTACTAGCTTCCTTGTTTTTTGAGATAACCCCAGGATTATCTCATAAATGATTTGAGTTGGAAATGGTATATAGAGCCGCCCCGCGCGGCCCCCAGTCCTAGCCCCGCGTGCCCCGACGCCCCGCCTGCGCCGCGGGCCCGAGTAGTGGGCGCGGGGCGGCCCGCTCGGCTCCTCCGCACCCGCTCCCCGCTCGGGCCGAGGCGCTGCGGCCGCGCGCCCCTCCTGGAGGAGAAGGAAGGAGGCGGGAGGAGGAGTTGCCGAGAAGAGAAGGCGAGCGCGGCAGTCGCGCCGGAGCTGGGCGAGGAAGCCGAGCCGGGCCGCCTCCGGTTCTACGGAGCGCCTTTGCTGAGCGTCACGCTGGGACACGAGCGGGTCAGTGCTGCAGGAGTGCGGTCTAGCCTAGAGTCCAGCTGGGAAGAATGTGAACACTGGCCCACACGTTAGAGATTGTACCAAAAAGCGAGGTGCCAGGGAAAAGAAAGAAAATGGCTCCAAAGGTTAAATGAAGCAGGAAAAATACATAGATGCAGCCTTGCAGGCTCTCCAGATGTTTGGGGATAATATTCCAGGAAGAAATTTTGATCCCTTGGATTAGGTAACTAGTCATAATGAAGAAAATTAGTCTTAAAACCTTCCGGAAATCTTTTAACTTGAATAAAAGTAAAGAAGAAACTGATTTCATGGTAGTACAACCACCATCGCTAGCCGGTGACTTTGGAAAAGATGATTCCTTGTTTGGTAGCTGCTACGGTAAAGATATGGCCAGCTGCGATATCAACAGTGAAGATGAAAAAGGCGGAAAAAACAGATCAAAAAGCGAGAGCCTGATGGGAACGCTAAAAAGGCGGCTTTCTGCAAAACAGAAAAAAGGCAAGGCAGGCACACCCTCTGGGAGCTGTGCCGACGAGGACACCTTCTCCTCCTCCTCAGCACCCATCGTCTTTAAAGACGTGAGAGCTAAGAGGCCGATACGGTCCACCTCCCTCCGCAGCCATCACTACAGCCCCACGCCGTGGCCTCTTCGGCCCACAGACTCCGAGGAGACCTGCATCAAGATGGAGGTGAGAGTCAAGGCCTTGGTTCACTCTTCCAGCCCGAGTCCAGCCCTGAACGGCGTCCGGAAGGATTTCCACGACCTCCAGCCTGAGACCGCGTGCCAAGAGCAAGCCAATTCACTGAAGAGCTCGGCTTCACAGAACGGAGACCTGCATCTTCACCTGGATGAACATGTGCCTGTCGTTATTGGACTTATGCCTCAGGACTACATTCAGTATACTGTGCCTTTAGATGAGGGGATGTATCCTTTGGAAGGATCACGTAGCTATTGTCTGGACAGTTCTCCCATGGAAGTCTCTGCGGTTCCTCCTCAAGTGGGAGGGCGCTCTTTCCCGGAAGACGAGAGTCAGTTAGACCAGGACCTCGTTGTTGCCCCAGAGATCTTTGTGGATCAGTCGGTGAATGGCTTGTTGATTGGCACCACGGGAGTCATGTTGCAGAGCCTGAGGGCGGGTCACGATGATGTCCCTCCACTCTCACCATTGCTACCTCCAATGCAGAATAATCAAATCCAAAGGAACTTCAGTGGACTCCCTGGCACAGAGGCCCACGTGGCTGAAAGTATGCACTGTCATTTGAATTTTGATCCTAACTCTGCTCCTGGGGTTGCAAGAGTTTATGATTCAGTGCAAAGTAGTGGTCCCATGGTTGTGACAAGCCTTACAGAGGAGCTGAAAAAACTTGCAAAACAAGGATGGTACTGGGGACCAATCACACGTTGGGAGGCAGAAGGGAAGCTAGCAAACATGCCAGATGGTTCTTTTCTCTGTCCGGGACAGTTCCGACGACCGTTATCTTTTAAGCTTGAGCTTTCGCTCCCATGGTAAAACACTTCACACTAGAATTGAGCACTCAAACGGTAGGTTTAGCTTTTATGAACAGCCAGATGTGGAAGGACACACGTCCATAGTTGATCTAATTGAGCATTCAATCAGGGACTCTGAAAATGGAGCTTTTTGTTATTCAAGGTCTCGGCTGCCTGGATCTGCAACTTACCCCGTCAGACTGACCAACCCAGTGTCCCGGTTCATGCAGGTGCGCTCGCTGCAGTACCTGTGTCGCTTTGTTATACGTCAGTATACCGGGATAGACTTAATTCAGAAACTGCCTTTGCCAAACAAAATGAAGGATTATTTACAGGAGAAGCACTACTGAAAGATTGAGAACCCTGCATCTTGCACTTTGGGAATAAGGAAAAGAGATTGAAATACAGTTTACAGACTTCATTGCCATCAAAATCTTTTGCTGCCATAACTGTTTGTTTTATGTGTAAAAGAGTCATCAGTTTGTTTATGGGTGGGGAAGTGTCAGCAAGGTGTCTTGGGTTTCATTTGGTTCTTCAAAAAGGGAAGTCTTGAGGTTTTAGAGGTGTGAATTATCTTTCATCAATGTGCAGAATAATCACAATGTGAATTATCAAATTCTCCTCAATGCCCCCCGCCCAGTCCTTTGCTGCTATCCACTGTGATTTTTATGCATTAAAAGCACATTTCATGTGTATTCAACCTTAAGTAAAGTCCAATGAAACTTACAGAATGGAAATTGCTATGTCTTTTTAAATGGCCATTTTCAAAAGATAATGTTGAATAAACATACCTGTGTGATGTGATAAAACACAGAATTTACGTATACACCGAAGATGAGTTTTTAATTTCTTTAAAAAGATTTATTTAGAATCATGAATTGACATAATCTTGGGTAATGGAACGGAGATCTACAACATATAACAACAGCATAATTTTTTCTAAATTATTTCTGAGGTTGTCCTAAGTTTTCTGGTTGTGAAAAGTTGAATTTTTCTGTTGCCTTTATTTTCATCTTATAGTTTGTCTATTTTAATAAATGGCCTTACATTAAAAAATTGTAAATAAATGTATACCACCCGTTTAGGAATTGTTGCCTTTTCTGTAATTAAACTCGGGTACAAATTGGCATAACACGAAAACCTATGGAACTAGAATTATTATTAAAGAAATATTAGATGAAAAAAAAAAAAAAAGAAATGGTATATAGAGACCACATTCTGTGTGCTGAGGCACTCATTGCTGCTCGGCTTTTCAGTGAAGAAAGAAGTTTAAAAAAAATGCGCTAACACTGTGCTTAGCACTTGTAGGAATAGATATAGAACATAGTCTCTGTCTTTGTTAATAAAAGTACAGCGTTATAAATACTTAATTGTTTGACTTTTGGTATGGAAGCTTATAGGAGGGTCCTCCTCACATACAGAGGGAAGTGGGGGCATCGAGGAGGCCAAGATACCTGACCTCAGCTTTGAGGAATAAAATGAAGATACTTTTGAGAGGAGCCTATTCAGAGCATATTGTGTTATGCCTTTGTCTCTGTACTATTGATTTGACCAGTGTGAGCCTCAGTTTCCTCATCAATAAATTTATGATATTTGTCAGCATACATTTTGCTTCTCTTTAGGTTTTCTCTGTCAGTAATAACACAATAACAGTGCCGCAAAGAATATTACTCTGTGTATAGTCTTGTGCATTTGTCCATGTATTTTGATAGGACAAGATTTCTAAAAGGCAAATTGCTTAAAGAGTATTTATGCCTTTAGATTTTTCTTATGATACTGCCAAATCACAATCAAAGAAGTTATGACAATTTATAACTTTTACTCATGATAAGCTACTGAAATCTTAAAATTAATTTTTACTTATTTACTACCACATTGTTCTAATTTCTTTCCATAATATAAAAAGAAGTAATTTAAATATCTTTGCTTCTTAATATACAGAATATGATGACTTTTTAACTTAAATGATTTGTAGCTCTTTTTGTATCTGGAAACTTATTTAATAATAAAGCTTTATAACTCTTTGCTATAGATTAATAACTTTCCAAACTTTGAAAAGTAATTCTGAGTCAGGCTACATAGTCATCATATACCCTACTTCCTGCCAGCTACGGGAAGAAAAGATTCCATGAATTCTCATTTATTTTTTCTTTCTTTTTTCAAAACATGATCAGTGATCTGGATTGGAAAGAAAACATTCTTAGAGTTATTTGAGAGATTTGTTATTTTTCCAGTTTTTTTCTAACTTTATATGAATTTATTACCTCCATTTGTAAATTGGCCACTCATCTGGTCTGTGAAAATGGCTGATCCCTAAGTTAATTTATATGCAAGAACAGAACAAGTTTAGGCTTCTGTTTTAGGTGCTGTTGAATTTATTATCTAATAAAATGTACTTTCAAAAATTAGGAGTTATCCAGATGCAGTGGCTCACACCTGTAATCCCAGCACTTCGGGAGGCTGAGGCAGATGGATCACCCAAGGTCAGGAGTTTGAGACCAGCCTGGGCAACATGGTGAAACCCCCTCTCTATTAAAAATACAATAATTAGCGGGGCGTGGTGGCTGATGCCTGTAATCACAGCTACTCATGAGGCTGAGGCAGGAGAATCGCTTGAACCAAGGAGGTGGAGGTTGCAGTGAGCTGAGATTGCACCATTGCACACCAGCCTGGGCGGCAAGAGTGATGAAACTCTGTCTCAAAAAATAAAATAAAATAAAAAATTAGGAGTTATGTTCCCATCTACTTAAAAATAGCCTGCGATTCTTACATATATGTTGATTTAGATTTTAATAGTATCTTTATACTATAAATACATTATTTTGTCAAGTCTCCATACTCAAAGATTTTGCTTAAATTACGAATGGTGTTGAAAAAAGATGATAAGGGAAAGGGTAATGTAAGGGAGAGAAATGGAAAGAAATAAAGAAATCCAGGCAATTGAAAATCAGTCATCCTTCTATTTCCCCCACTTAAGCTAACAATTTCACCTGACACTTACCTTAAAGATATATGTGACAGTTATCTAGACTCATTTTAGTCAGTACCTCACAACTAACAGTGAAGATTTTAAGTTCATGTTGGGGTTATTCAGGCAAAACTGTGGTGGGTTATTTGTCTGAATTATTTTCAGTTGCTTTGACCTGCATCCACACTTTGAACTTGCCACTTAGAGGTTGGCATATTAAAAAGCATAATTTATTTTCTTTTTCTTTTCTTGTATTTTTAGTGATTATTTGTATTTATTAATGTGCTTTTTTCCTTTATAATCTTTTATTTTTATTCATTTTATTTTATATTTTTTTGAAACAGAGTCTTACTCTGTCGCCCAGGCTGGAGTCCGGTGGGTGCGATCTCTGCTTACCGCTACCTCCGCCTCCTGGGTTCAGCTGATTCTTGTGCGTCAGCCCCCTGAGCACCTGGGACTACAGGCCTGCGTCACCACGGGTGGCTAATTTTTGTATTTTTAGTAGAGATGGGGTTTTGCCATGTTGGCCAGGCTGGTCTTTAACCCCAGACCCCAAGGGATCCACCAGCCTCGGCCTCCCAAAGTGCTAGGATTACAGGCATGAGTCACCTCGCCTGACTGTTTCTTTATAATCTTTTTAATCTTTATTGTAGATTAAAAATTTCCTTCCCATGATTAATCTCATCAAACTTTTTTCATATTAGAAAAAATACAAAAAATTAGTCAGGCAAGGTGGCTACTTGTGGGGCTGAAGCAGGAGGATCTCTTGAGCCCAGGTGGTCGAGGGTGCAGTGAGCTGAGATCACGCTTTACTCCAGTCTGGGTGACAAAGTGAGATCTTGTCTCAAAAGAAAGAGAGAAAGAAGAAAGAAAAAGTTATAATTTACTCTATATGTTGTTTAAAGGAAAAATTTCTCTGTAAGGAAAAGGAATTTCTGCTAGGTTGCATTGCCCCCCCCCGCCCCCTCTTAGTTTAAAATGAATTCTCTTTTGTGCTGACAAATAGCTGTTTCTGAAGTTGGCAAGAAAATTTCCTCTTGGGATTCCACTAGAAGTGTAGCAGCAGCTATCTGATTGAACTGCTTAGAAAGCTCTCTGAAAGTTGCCATGTTTGTCTGGAAAGAGCGAGGAGCCCAAACCTGCTTTTCCCCCGGAGGAGGGTTGTAGATATAAGCCTGTTACGGGAACAACTAGGAGGGATTATGTCGTAACAATATGAAATTGAACAATACCAAGGCATAATTAAAATTTCTTAATTCAAAGCAAATTTTCAGTCACAATAAAGAAGGGCTGTTAAAGATAGACTTGGGTAGTATTTTATACTCTTACCTACCTTCTTAGGTGATAGAAAGGAAGGAGGAGGAAGCTTTTCCTTTTCTTCATTTTCTTTTTATTCAAAACAGTCTACAACTGAGCTGACTGCATTATGAGAGTCACTATGCAAGACAAAAAGGGGGATCAAGAGTTATTGGTGCAGATTACATCTTATTATAAAATAAAGTTGTAATATGGTGAATACGAATTGCTTTTTATTAAAATATTACATGTAAATGTTAAAATGGCCCCATGAAATTATTTTGAATCAGATTAAATAGCAAGGAGAAAAGAGTCAGTATTTAAAAATAATTAGGGGGGGGAGTGATGAAAAAGAAAAGCTGTAACAGTAAAATCTGAGATGAGGAAGGTACTAGAAAAGCTGCAAGCAAAGAAGTTAAGTAAAATAACTATTTCTGTTTGCCCTATCTCTGCCATCTTCATTCTTTTCCAACTTTTAGGCCACCTTGAAGAGATTACCTTGATTATCTTGCCTACACACTAAGTTGTGTGACTACTGGGCAACATAACAACTCATCATCTCAGTTTTCTTATTTCTAAGATTGGTAAACTAATACTTAGCACATACAGTTAGTTGTTGCATGGATTAAATGAGCTATCTATAGTTTGCTCATTAAAGTGCCTGGTGCATGGTAAGTGCTCAGTAAAGGTTAACTGTTATTTCTGTCATCACTATTGTTGTTATTAATGCCTCCTTTACTCATGCATTCAGCAGATGTTTATTGAATGCTTATATTGGAAGTTAGTCATTAAAGAAGACAAAGTCCCTTCCCTCTAGAAGCTTTCATTCACTCTTGTGAAAAAGATAGATAATAAGCAAGTAAATAAATAATTATAGATTGTGCTAAGTCCTGTGAAGGAAATAAATAGAGGGACAAGAAAGAAAGAATAAGTGAGGAGTCACTTTCTGTGAGGGTGCCCATGAAGGGCTTATGAAGAGGCAGCAGTTTAAGAGGCCTAAGGATTGAGAATGAGCCCAGTAGGTCAGGAGCCTCGGAAAGTGCATTCTTATAAAGGAAGTAGCATGTGCAAGGCTCAGGATGCAGACAGCTTGTACATTTGAGGTATAGAATAGTGGACCCCAGCCTTTTTGGGACCACAGTCCAGTTT